CCAACTAGGGAACATCATCAGTGCTAGAAGGGAGTGTGGTTTGAGGAAGGGAGGAGGAGGGGAGGAGGAGGAGGACTGTGGGGTCCTTGGTGCTCTCTGAGCTTGGTGGTTTTCTTGCAGACGTTTCATGACCCAACTAGGTAACATCATCAGTGGTAGAAGGGAGGGGGGGGTTTCACTGTTTTTATACAAGTCGCTTGCTATGTCAGTCTTTTTCTTCTTGGTAAGTTCCTTGATTAGGCTGTTATTTGCTTTAGCCATTGCATATCAACAGGGAGCAATCCCCCCCACTTCCCTTCTAGCACTGATGATGTTCCCTAGTTGGGTCATGAAATGCCTGCAAGGAAACCACCAACCTCAGAGAGCAGCAAGGACCTCACAGTCCTTCTTCTCCTCCTCCTCCTCCTCCTCTCCCCAAACCCCTCTGCTTTCTAGCTCTGATGATGTTCCCTAGTTGGATAATGAAACATCTGCATCAAAAGAAGCTTAGAGAGCACCAAGTACCCCCACAGTCCTCCTCCCCCTCCTTGTCCTCCTCCTGTTCTTCCTCCTCCCCTCCACAAACCTTCCTCCCTTCTAGCACTGAGGATGTTACCTAACTGGGTCATGAAACGTCTGCAAGGAAAGTACCAAGCTCAGAGAGCACCAAGGACCCACCAATCTTCTTCGTCCCCTCCTCCTCCTCCTCCTCTTCTTCTTTTTCTTCCTTCTCTCTTCCTCTTCTCTGCACACCCCACTCCCTTCTAGCGCTGATGTTACCAGCTCAGAGAGCACCAAGAACCCCCACCGTCCTCCTCCTTCCTTCTAGCACTGATGATGTTACCTAGTTGGGTCACGAAACGTCTGCAAGAAAATCACCAAGATCAGAGAGCACCAAGGACCCCACAATCTTCTCCCTCCCTCCCTCCCTCCCTCTCTCTCAGAGAGCACCGAGGACCCCACCTCAACCCTGAGCTTCTATTGATAACATTTATCCTATGTTTTTTTTAAAAAACTTTCTCCCCCAGTCCTCCAGCCAGCTCCCCATCAAGTCATCACGAATCTCCCGGAAGGGGTCCGGCCCCCACCCACCCGGCCCACCCGGCCGCCCCCACCGCTGATCCCCTCCTCCAAGACGGTGGTGCCTTCAGAGAAGCCCTCCTTCATCATGGGAGGCTCCATTTCACAAGTAAGCAGGAAAGAGGGAAAAAAATGTTTGTTTATTTCGGTCGGTCTTCTCTGTTGCAGAAGCTCAAGGTTGGATGGAAGGCACAAGGTAGTCCTTGACTTAATCACCATTGTAGTTTGGTTTAACAAAGAGAAGGACGAGGGGGGGACATGATAGCAGCCTTCCAGTATCTCAGGGACTGCCCCAAAGAAGAGGGACGATCCCTTAGATAGGAGCCAGCTGTGTGCTGCAGCTGCCAAAAAGGCCAACCCAGTGCTAGGCTGCATTAACAGAGGGAGAGAATCAAGATCACGTGAAGTGTTAATACCACTTTACAAGGCCTTAGTAAGGCCACACTTGGAATACGGCATCCAGTTTTGGTCACCACGATGTAAAAAAGATATTGAGACTCTAGAAAGAGTGCAGAGAAGAGCAACAAAGACGATTAGGAGACTGGAGGCTAAAACATATAAGGAACGGTTGCTGGAATTGGGTATGTCTAGTTTAACGAAGAGAAGGACGAGGGGGGACATGATAACAGTGTTCCAGTATCTCAGGGGCTGCCCCAAAGAAGAGGGAGTCAAGCTATTCTCTAAAGTGCCTGAAGGCAGGAGAAGACGCAACGGGTGGAAACTAACCAAAGAGAGAAGCAACCTAGAACTAAGGAGAAACTTCCTGACAGTTAGAACAATTAATCAGTGGAACAACCTGCCTCCAGAAGTGGTGAATGCTCCAGTACTGGAAGTTTTTAAGAAGAGACTGGACAGCCATTTGTCTGAAATGATCTAGGATTTCCTGCCTGAGCAGGGGGTAGGACTAGATGACCTCCAAGGTCATTTCCAACTCTATTATTCTGTTAATTCGTCCTGCTAGCGTTCAAAGTCACAATGGCGTTGAATGAAGGGACTTATGGCTGTTGCAGCGCCCCCTGCTGTCACGTGAAGAAAATTTCACTGCTTGGCAACCTCCCCCACACTTAAAGACCGCGGGGATGCTTTAATTGCCTCCCCCCAACTCTCTACCACCATCTACATGTAGTCCTCGGCTTAACAATCAAATTTTCTGTTGCTCGGTAATATATTTGTTAAGTGAGTTTTGCCTCATTTTACAACCTTTCCACAATTGTTAAGTGAATCACTGCAGTTGTTAAGTGAACCAGGCAGTCGTTAAGCGAATCTGGCTTCCTTCGTTGACTTTGCTGGTTGGAAGCCGGCTGGGAAGGTGAGAGAGAGGAGAGAGAGAAAGAGATGGAGAGATAGAGATAAATAGAGGGAAATGAGAGAGCAAAAGAGATGGAGAGATAGATAAATAGAGGAGATGAGAGAGAGAGAAAGAGAGATGGATGTAGACAAATAGAGGAGATGAGAGAGAGAAAGAGATGGAGAGATATAGACAAATAGAGGGAGATGAGAGAGAGCGATGGAGAGATAGATAAATAGAGATGAGAGAGAAAGATGGAGATATAGATAAAGAGAGGAGATGAGAGAGAAAGAGAGATGGAGAGATATAGATAAAGAGAGGAGATGAGAGAGAAAGAGATGGAGAGATATAGATAAATAGGAGGTGAGAGAGAAAGAGATGGAGAGATAGATAAATAGAGGAGATGAGAGAGAAAGATGGATATAGATAAATAGAGGAGATGAGAGAAAGATGGAGAGATATAGATAAAGAGAGGAGATGTGAGAGATGGAGAGATATAGATAAATAGAGATGAGAGATGGAGAAATATAGATAAATAGAGGAGATGAGAGAAAGATGGAGAGATGTAGATAAATAGAGGAGATGAGAGAGAGAGATGGAGAGATAAATAGAGGAGATGAAAGAGATGGAGAGATATAGATAAATAGAGGAGATGAGAGAGAAAGATGGATATAGATAAATAGAGATGAGAGAAAGAGATGGAGAGATATAGATAAATAGAGGAGATGAGAGAGAGATGGAGAGATATAGATAAATAGAGATGAGAGAGATGGAGAGATATAGATAAATAGAGGAGATGAGAGAGAGATGGAGACATAAATGGAGAGAGAGAGTGATAGACAGATATAAAAGAGATGACAGAGGTAGAAAGATGGAGAGACAGATGAGAGGGGAGAGAGAGAAATAGAGAGATATAGATAAATAGAGGGAGAAAGAGAAGAGAGTGATAGACGGAGAGATTTATAAAAGAAATGATAGAAATAGATAGAAAGATGGAGAGACAGATGGGAAGGGAGAGGGAGAGAGAATTAACACACGTAGTCCTCGACTTATGACCACAACTGAGCCCAAAATTTCTGCGACAAAGTGAGACATTTGTTAAGCGAGTTTTGTCCCTATTTACAACCTTACAACCCCAGTTATTAAGTGAATCACCGCAGTTGATGTTAGTCACACGGTTGTTAAGTGAATCTGGCTTCCCTCATAGACTTTGCTTGTCGGAAGGCCACAAAAAAGGGGGAATCACGTGAGCCCCAGGACGCCGTGACCGTCGTAACTATAAATCAGTCGCCAAGCAGCCCAATTTTGATCACGTGACCACGGGGGGATGCTACAACAGAAGTGTGAAAGAAAACACCCTAACTCACTTTTTTCCAGTGCTGTCGTAACTTTGGTCACTAAAGGAACGGTTATAAGTCGAGGACTACCTACGGGCCCCTTGGGCACCCTGATCTGTGTGTTCCCTGCCCTCCCAGTTCAGCCGACCCATAGCAGGCCGGCGTGGCCCCTTTGCGAGGAGGCCGCACAATTTTTTCCCCTCGAGGTTACACACACAACCATTTCCTTGCGAGACCAGACCCGGGAAAGGCGGCCTGCCGTGTCCTCGTCCGCCTCACAAAGGGCCAGGGCAGGCCCGCCTCGTCCGCAGCGGGAACAAGGAGGTCAGCCGGGGCAGCAGAGGGCAGGGCCTCGCTGGCCTCGGAGTGCCTGCGGTGAGACCCGCTGCGGCTGGGGCTCCGTGGGACACACTGCAGCTTCACACTAAGCTGCTTGGCCGGGGCAGCTGAGGCTTCAGGTTGCGCCGTGGGTCGAAGGCCTGAAGGCCTCGTGCAGCCCCAGAGACCAGCCGTACCCAGAAGCCGCCCCCCCCGAGCCCTACAGGTGTGGGGGCTGCTTGTCGCCTGGCAGAGCCAAAAGGGCATAGATGGGTGGGTGGGGGAGGTAGGTACGGGGGGGAGGGCAGTCGAACCTGCACCGCTTTATTTTCTCCAGGCTTGGAGTTGGGAGGGTCCTTAATTTGTGACCGGTGGAATTTGGTGAATGCCCTGAAAAGCCTTCCCACGGCCTTTTCGTGAATTTTAAGCATCCCTCGCCTCTTTAAATTTTGTATTCTGTTTTTTGCTTTTTAACGTTTTATCGTGTGTCATTTTTTGAGAGAGATGGGAGGATGGATAGATAGATAGATAGATAGAGAGAGAGAGAGAGAGGGGGGGGGTACATAAAGATATAGATGATAGATAGACAGACAGACAGATAGATACATAGATACATAGATAGAGGTAGAGAGAGAGGTAATAATAATAATAATAATGATAAAGTTGGAAGGGACCTCGGAGGTCATCTAGTCCAACCTCCTGCTCAGGCAGGAAACCCTATACCATTTTGGACAAATGGCTGTCCAGTTTCTTCTTAAAAACTTCCAGTGTTGGAGCATTCACTGCTTCTGGAGGCAGGTTGTTCCACTGGTTAATTGTTCTAACTGTCGGGAAGTTTCTCCTTAGTTCTAGGTTGCTTCTCTCTTTGGTTAGTTTTCACCCGTTGATTGATTGATTGATTGATTGATTGATTGATTGATTGATTGATTGATTGATTGATTGATTGATAGATAGACAGACAGACAGACAGACAGACAGACAGACAGATACATAGATACATAGAGATAAAGATAGATAGATAGATAGAGATATATAATTAGATAGATAGACAGACAGACAGACAGATAGATACATAGATACATAGAGATAAAGATAGAGATATATAATTAGATAGATAGACAGACAGAAGATAGACAGACAGACAGACAGACAGATAGATAATGATACAGATAAATATATAGATAAACACAACCAAAAGAGAGAGAGAGAGAGAGAGAGAGAGAGAGAGAGAGAGAGAGAGAGAGTAGATGATAGACAGATAAATAGAGATAAATAGACTGACATAGAGAGAGAGATGATAGACAGACAGACACAGTAGGTAGATAAATCATAGAAACAGACAGCCAAACTGAGTGAGTGAAAGAGATATAGTAGATAATCAGATTAATATAGATATTGATAGGGAGAGAGATAATAATAGATAGACACAGTAGGTAAAGAGATGATAGACAGATAAATAAATAGATAAACAGACAGCCAGAGAGAGAGAGAGAGAGAGAGAGAGAGAGATGATAGACGATAGACAGATAAATATAGATAGACACACAAACACACACACACAGTCAGTAAATAGATGATAGCATAAATATAGACTGACAGAGAGAGAGAGAGAGACTCTGAGACAGAGAGAGATGACGATGGATGGATGGATGATAGATACAGTAGACAGATGATAGACATAAAAATAGATATGTAGATGGGGAGGGGAGAAAGAGATGATAAACAGGTAAGACATGGAGGATTCAGATTGCTCTTCGTATTGACAGCCTCCACCAAAACGGGGGTCCTCGGGAAAAGCTGGATTTCCAGCAGCAGCATTCCCAGCAGCCCAGGCACACCTCCGTAGAGGCGAAGCGCGCGTCACACCTGCGCTCCCCCCAGCGTCATTTGCGACCCGTTCCGCGTGCGGTCCACCTGCGGGATTCCTCTTTATCGACCCACCCCACCCCCCTGGATCGCAGGCACATTCACCCCAGCTTCACCCTGTCCCGGCACGTAACTCTCTCCCCCCTCTAAGATGTCCTTTCCCTCCCACTCGTAGGGAACACCGGGCACTTACCTGTCCCACAGCCAGAGCTCTTACGGTCAGGAGCCAGCCAAGCCACCTGGAGGCTCCATCTCGCTCGGCTTGCCAAGACAGCAGGATTCCAAGTCAGGTAAATCAAGGACGATAGGAGGAATGGACACGGCCTGGGCTTCTGTGCAGGGGTGCAGAAAGCAGGGTCTCCTTGGCCTTCAAAAGCCCAGCTAGATGTGGGGGGGGGGTCTTAAGACGGAAAGGTAGCACTAGCAACAGCACTTAGACTTATATGCCGCTTCAAAGTTCTTTTACAGCCCTCGCTAAGCGGTTTACAGAGTCAGCATATTTGCCCCCAACAATCTGGGTCCTCATTTTACCGACCACGGAAGGACGGAAGGCTGAGT